TTGAACATTTCCTATGTCGTACGTGTGTAAGACGGAGACAACACATGCGGGTTAGATGTCCTCTTAATAATAAAACTATAGGTATACTATAGGTACCTATATAGTCATATATAAGTAGGTACTCACTCTGACACTACTCACTACTCAAATATTATAATTATATTTATATTGTATTTTTYTATAAACACTTAATTAGTTTATTATTGTAATAATATTGTCCTTCTAGCAATACCCACCAAGTACCCACCCACCAGCTCATATTTAAGGTGTTGCTTGAGCAACATTTGGACCCTAGGTTACACGCCACTGGTATATCATAATATTCAATATCGTTGAAACTTATTAATCGAGTATCAACAAAATATTCTAAAGAAGGAATATCCTTTTAAAGTTGAACGCGTTTCTTAATTATCCCATTAGTAGATTTAATAAAGCAACTATATAAACTAGTTATTACATGTTTGATGTAATCTATGGTGTGTTAAGTTAATTATCTAAAGAAATATGAGGAAGTTATTTAATTAATTGTTAAAAATGMCATCGTAGATTGATTAGTAGAGTTAAACGATTCAGACCGAAGTGAAAGTCATATCTTAGTTTAAAATTTTAAATCCCCAACGATCTTAGCAACGAGAGATCGTAAATATGTATTTATCTACAGCTTTAGTTACTATTATTATTTTTTTTTTATTAGCTTTTTATATAACAATTATAGCTTAACAATTATAAAAATAACAATTATGCAAACATAGTATTTATGCAAAAGTTATTATTATTGCTACATAATATACACAATGTATAAACTAATGCAGTTTCATCATAATATTATTGACTTCTCCTTTTTGAACACGAAAATTGTAAAAAGGTACAAATAGTCAAAATAGTGTATTATATATTATTATACTTCAGTACTTAATTGTTAGATATAGGTAGCTCGTTATTTATCAGGTATGTAAAATATATAAATATAATATATATATTTTTAGCATTAATTAGATAAATATTTCTAGGTATGAAAAATGTGAACTAACATATTAAATGCGTTGATTTTATCTTAATAAACAGAGAAGATAAATGCAAGTACAGTTTTTATCTGTTTTATTTCATTTTACATTTCCAATTTAATAAGATAATAATCAAACACGAGAATATGGAAATTGAATCTATAAAAATCAATTTATTTTGATAAATTAATCACCAGATTAACCAATTAATAATAAATCTTATCTTAGACTACTTATAACAAAAYAACGTTTTTTTAAATATATGTTTTGATATTTATTTATTTTTAATTCTGTTTGAAAGTAAATTGGAGCTTATAATATTGTATAATATATCCAATATAAAATGATCAATATTTTTTTTCATTTTTCATTCTTTTAATAAATAATAATTATGTTGACATTTACTGTTTTCAAACGCTATAAAAATATTGTTTAACTAATAATTTAAACTCTCGTTGTAAAATGACAACTCATGCTTCACACACGCACCTATTTCATTTATGTTAAGTTTTTGAATTAATTATGTTGTATTTTTTCAATATGTTTACTTAATTAATAATATTTCTAGATTATAAGCTAGGTATTTAAAGCATTTAATTCAATTCCAAACACCACTTATACCTACAACTTATTATTATTCAATTTTGTGAATACAAATTAAAAAGTTTATGAAATGGGTAAATTTGTTATATTTTTGATATTTATGGTCTTAATAACTGGTATTTCAGCCAATTATAATGAAATTTTAAATGTATTAAAAACATTTTTTGGCCGGAGACATATTCAAACCGTGACAGCTGTAAATACGTGTTGGACAGTTGGTAAATATACATATAAATACATTATATTCGAAAAAAACATAATGTATAATAATATAGTCTGAAACATGTATATATCAAAACGAATGTGTCGAAAATGTACGAAGTATATGTTTTGAGTCTAGACGTCAATAAAAAACTCTTGGATGATCTCTCATTGGTCGATATATCCGTGTCTTTTAGTCCAATCACGCCACAAACACAAAACTTCTTCACATGGTACAGATGCGCCTTTATAATCGATTTGTCTTGTGGAAATTTAACAGAAAMATTAAAACAGGTAATTTTACCGGATAAATCTGACCATACATGTCAAACTTATACGGGTGCTTATAAAGTAAATTAAGTACCTATACCGTTATTATTATTACATTGTCACYTTTTTCGGTGTAAGTTGTGTGGTTTACACGTTACCTATAAAAATATACTATACATTTGAAAATATTCAACTAGGTACTTCACCGTTTGGTTTGGTGATTAGTATAAATTCGATTAACTAATCAAAAACTATAGTCAAATTCCGAACACGAATCACACACAAAGCTTTGTTCTGATGTAGTGTGGGTACCACTTTCGCAACCATGTATAATAATATTATTTTAATGAGACCGTTATATTATTATATTAATATGTTTAACAATATATTATAACATAAAATAATTTATTATTGTTTTATAATCGAATATAGATTTCAAACGATCGCTTGTTCAATACTCAAAACGATTGGATACTCTTTGATCAGAGTTCGTTTGCCAATGAAATGAGCTCAGCTGAATTTGCATTGCGAACATTTCAAATATATTTTACCAATGCCTATGTTCTACCAGATGCAGGTGTATTTTTATTTCTAGAGACMAATAACGATGTTTGGGAAATATGGAGTGGTTTTCGGGCTAGTAGATTGGACTCGATAAGAGTGTTTGAATATGGCACGGTATCTTCAAACCGGTTGAAAATTATACGTGAATTGCATGACGAGAGAAGAAATTTCCGTGGTATTATACTGAATTCTACAACAGTGGTTCGTAGACACCAAAAATATGAATCTAATATGGTACGAAATTAAACAGCTAAAGAATTTTTCAATTAGATAATTGACAGAGATCATTTTTTTGGATTTGACAARCAAATTAGTTCTGACTTGGATGTATTCGCTCATATGCATTATGAAATGATCGTTACATTGGCTAATCAACTTAATTTTAAGTAAGTAAAAAACACAATAAATATTATTATTTAAATTKTATTTTGATTATAATGGCAGATATTTTTAAAGGATAAATCTTACTATTGACAACGATTACGGATGGTCTCTGGGCAATGGTACCTTTAGTGGTTTAACYGGACTTTTACAAAAAGAAGCAATTGATTTTAGTGCGACTGGTGTTTTTATTCGGCCAGATAGAATGTCAGTAATCGATTTTACAGTCGGCACAGTTACACTACGGTAAATTACAGATTATGTTTAAATTAAAAAAAAACACTATAAATTGCCAGTAAATTTAATATTTTTTTAAACAGAACTACAGCAATTTTTAGGCAGCCTTCGTTGTCTAGTGCACATAATATTTTATTTTTACCATTCACGTCTGATGTATGGATAAGTATATGTGCAACTTTATGTGTATTTGTGCTCACCTTGGTTTTCTTATTGCGTGTAAATAACTATTTTCTAGAGAAAACATGTAGTACACTGAATATTCCAGAAATAGTGATATTGGTCCACGGAGCTATATGTCAACAAGGTAAGCTTAACCATATACGCTGCAGTGTAACTTCTCTAGTTAAAATTCATTCATTTTTACCTTATTTAAATAGGTTTCTATTTTGCCGGTTATCTAATGGCCAAGTTAAAAGAAAAATTCCCTCACATGGGTACTTGATGCAATTAAATTTAAACCACCCAGATATTCATTTATCGCAAATAAATAAAAATAATATACATTTGTCATTTTTTATTGTTAAGATTTTTCTATCGAAAGAATTTATCTACCATTGGTAAATTAACTAGTCTATCAGTTCCAACCAGGATATTTTATATAAGGTAGTTCATAATTTTAACAGGCGCCATTTTATGAGTTTTAGGGTTTTAACATAAATTAAGAATGRTAAATATTTGAGATTTCATCCAATTCAAATTTTGTTATTTTTCTATCATTCTTATAATTAATGATTCATACAAATCTAAAACAATACACACTTCAAAGAATACACGACTTATTAGTTACTACTACATATAACTACCTACTATAGATAATGGAATTTCAATTTTTTTTTATTACTTTGGATAATTTATAAATAAAATGTATTCTGAGGTTATTGTATCATTGGGGAAATTTCTTTTCATTCTTTTACGTAAATTAAGTGCTCATCATACGTATTACGTAGGTATACCGAAGTTTGTATATCAAATGATGCTTTATTTAATATCGTATTATTTAAATACCTATGTATAGTTAAATTTAAATACATAAAAATAYTATTTTTGAAAGATCTATAAAATGTGTACAATAAGAATATGTGAAAAGTTAATATAAATATTATARTGAATTATTTAATAAAACCACGGAAGAAGCCCCATTGGTGATGGGTGTAACTTCTTAAAACATAAATATATAAAAATTGGTTTAATGTGTATGAACAGTATAATTCAATACTGGCAGATCTCACTTTGCTATTATACTTTTCACTTAACAATATTAATTGGGTGATAGGTAAAATCAAATTGATTGATTAGCAACAATTCATATCTCATTCTGCGTAAAAACATATGTTTTGATTGGGAAATATTCAGATCTAGAGCCAATAAATTAAGTACCTATGCCTATAATATGATAGGTATGAATCATAATTTTATATCATCTGCCTAGTTTTGAGGCCGAAACAACCAAGATTATGATAATATTATGTTTAGGGTTTAATTCAGCTTCAACCTTGGGATCTATACGTGTCGTCATATCAATATTATTTTTTACATCTCTTTTCATATATACGTCGTATTCTGCAAGTATTGCTGCGCTAATTCAATCAAACAGTAATTCAATAAAGTCTATTCAAAATATAATAGAATCGCCCATGACATTTAGTGCTCAAATTAGTCCATATGGAAAACTTTATTTTGAAGTAAGTGATATGTCACAATATCGTACTTTCTATTACAGTGAATATAATTAGCTATTACTAACATGACACATTTATTGTGTTTAGATTCGATAATTTGTAATAAAATATATCTTTATGATATAGAATAAACATCTATACACAAAAATTGATATAAAATTTATTTAAACTGTGGTACTTTTCAGGAAACAGAAGATTCAGAATTAAAGAAACTTTATACGACAAAAGTATTACCTAGTGGAAATAAAGCGTTCGTTAGAGCTGCGGAAGGGATAGAAAAAATTCGAACGGAGTTTCATGGATTTCAGGTTTTTGTAATCTGTATTTTATTTTTACTACAAAATAAAATACAAATTTGTTACTGTAGGTAGAAGTGATATCAGCCTACAAGATTATTGGTCAAAAATGGCGCGAAGAGGAGAAATGTGCTTTGGGTGAGATTCAACTTTTCAAGATACCAGTTTTGTCAATAGCTTTAGTCAAAAAATCAGGACACAAAGACATATTCAAACAAAAGTATGCATTCAAACTCCTATTGTTGATGGCTTATGATCCTCCATTATAGACCATTATAAGTTATCATTACATTTTTCTACGCTCAGACTAATACAACAAATGGAAGTCGGGCTTAGTAAAAGAATCGCTAGTCAATGGATACCTAGAAAGCCATCGTGCGGATCGTCTAGCAGAGCCAAACAATACATTAGCGTTTCTGTTAAAGAAACACATCTAACACTTACAATATTTGGATTTGGTGTTTGCACTTCATTGCTGATTTTTATTCTGGAAGTATTACATCACACCTGGATGAATTACGAATCAAAAAAAAAAATGTGGAAGTAATATGCTAACGATTTAAATATGTTTGAAATATATAATAATAGTTTTGTGAATCATAACTAATTAATTTATGACTAATATTTTGACCACATCTTACCCCAGAAAAATCATAGTAACTTTTTTTTTTAAATTCATTTTTGATTTATTTATTTTTCAAATWATTTTATTTTATTATATTATTGTTTTTACTTTATACGACATACTATAGAGATATATTTTATATTGGTGTATGATAATAAAATAATATATTATCATTTGTTACTTGTCACATCAATGATATTAAAATGTATTAAACTAAAAAGTACTCATTGTTTTTTTTTTATATGTAGATTTTGCATACCTAGTCTAAATAGTATCATTCTAATATAACTAAATACTTAAAATCATAAAAATGTATACAAAATATAGCATTTTAATATTKTTTTGATATATTATATCTAATTGTTTATTTTATTGTTGAAGTTMAATTTAAAAAAATAATTAACTAAAACGTCAATAGCTTTTAAAAATCTATAAAATACGAGTACTGTCATTATTTGAAAACTCCAACTATGTTGATTATATGAGTTATTGTCTAATATTATGTACAACGTTTAAATAATTTTCATAGTCTTATCAGTCAATTTGGTTTTGAAAAATCTCAAATTATAACATGTATATGTATAATTTTCTCATACTAAGTGTCAATAGGAATTTCCATTTTCTTCGTATCATATTTTACATTTTTTTTATTGCATTTATTATGGAGTCTAAATCTAATTTTGTAATTATTGATTGACTGTACGACCGGACATTAGTGTCTCATACAATAATTGTATAAGTTTTATATTTGKGTTATATTAATATCATAATAACATTAACTAGTTAGCCAACATAATTAATTCAAAAATTAATTTGAAAAAAAATCAAATTTTGATATACTCGTAAGTACCTACTATTTAAAATATATTTTCATAAATACACATTTTATAAAATTAACTATAGTAGGTATCTATACTAAATAGTATATTTTAATAAAACACTATTGATAAATTTTGACCYATTATATAMGTATTTAAACWACATCACGGCTCCCAGAGGCATCGCGAGAGTTGGTGAAGAGAGCTACATCTTGGTATTTTATACCATATTATTACTTCATACTATGCATTCGTTTGGATGACAATTAAGGCGTAAGTGGAATCGTTTATGTGTGCTAAAAACTATATTATGTAAAAACAAACACACCTCTACAGTTATGTAACTGTACAAAAGTCTAATCAAATCAATAAGGACATATACGGTCAAAATATCGTTCAAAGAAAGTTAACAAATAATTCATCTCCTTATGTCTATAATTCGTCTACATTCAGATCTAAAACTAAAAACTATATAAGTGATGAATTAAAATGTTTCTATAAAAGATTTCACAACCACTTAAATACTCATTCAAATCTCAAAATTTGGCTTCCACTACCATCCCAGGTCATTATCTAAGATAACTAAAGCGTGAGTAGTGCTGATAATTGTTATAAAAAAGTATAAATATTAAAATAATTAAATAATCCTATAGTAGGTGGCATTAATGGGTAGCTCCTTTCATAAAAAATAATGTTAACATGTCATATTCGTTACTCTTGCTTATATTCCTATTTAATCAAATGTACACATAGCTTGTAAAAATAAAATTTCACACACTTTTATATTATTTAATTTATATGTATTAAAAATCTATGAGAACTTATTGCAAAAATTTAATAATTGATGAGTTATAGATACTAGAAATTTATCCTAGGTATCTAGAATTTTTTTGAATTTTCAAAAAATAATATTTCTTCTTTTGAATAAGATTTTGAAAAATATTATTGTATTTTATTGTACCTATTGGCTATTGTTATTTAAATTTCGTCGCAAAAAGAACTATAAGGTATAAATTACTTTGCGACATGCAATACAGGTATTATGAATGATGATTTTTTTAAATGTACCCACATAATTTTAGATTAACAAGCTAYTTTATTAATTTATAATTGTGCATATTATAATATAAATCCGTTTTAGACATCATAAAATTGAAAACCTATTTAAGTTTTAAATAATTGTGTACCTATCATTATTTTATATATTTTTGTGATATGAATGTATTTTTAAGTAKTACTTACGTATATTATTAAAACAGACAATAATAAACTATTATTTATAATATATTCTTAAACGATTCTCTTTCATTGTATTGAATGTAAAATCAATATTAGCTATATAAACACATTTAATATTTAAGAAATGGCGTGTTGACAAATCACTAATTCTGTTGGATATAACACGCAACTACTTATAATATATGAACTCGAATATTTAATATTCGTGTTATATGTTTAGCAGAACTTTTCTACACCATTTATAAATTTTTATAACAACTAACTAATAAAAATGTTTACATTATGTCATTTTTTTTTATTTTTCACAATTTTTGGAGTCAAAAACTGTGGAAATTATAACGGTCATAATAATTTACTAAATGGCTTGATAAATGTGTTCAAAAATTTGARTGTACATACAGTTTGGACCACCACATGTTGGAACACAAGTAATGCCATCTTATTATACGCAAAAAATGATCTTATATTAATATTCGCCTATGAATCAATCATGTAAAAATTTAATTTATTAAATTTCATGTGAAACTATAGATAAAAATAAATAAAAATATCAATATGTTATTGCTACAATAATTCAAATGTATCATATTTTAATAYTTTATAATACAATATCAACTGGAGAATATTAAAACAATCATTTACAACTTAAAACATTTTAATTTATCCGATCCGTGGAAATKCATTAAATTTCCTAAACCATATATGATTAATCATAACACGAGTTACACTCATAATTATTATTATTATATTCTACTAAATATATATTATATAATCATTTATAAATA